GGACTGGCATCCCGTCCAGGGTGTCCCCCTGCCTCGTGCCCTGTGACGGACTGGCATCCCGTCCAGGGTGTCCCCCAGGCCTATTCCTTGGATAGACTGTGCCCCCACCCCCATGGTCCTGACTGGGATAAGCATTTACAAGATGGATGGCTCGGTCTGGTTTTGCCTTATTGGATTTTATAATTAAAAAAACACTTTTTAATACTACAAGGGCACTGCTTTCAGCAGGTATGTGTTTCTATGGATAAGCATTCCGTAACCCCCCCCCCCCCAATTCCAGTCGTGAAACCCCCCGAGATCAGTTTTCCTGATATTTCAAATTACCCTTCCTAATCCCTATTGCCAAACCCTACATTAAGGATGCAGTTAGCTGTTTTTTCTTTCTCATACAAGATGAACATTAAACACGTCCTGTTTTTATAAGGTGCAACACGGTCGCATGTCAGAGGCCCCCTCCCGCCCCCCTACTTTCCTGTCCCATTTGACTTTGGCACAGGTCAGGACACACAAGGTTTTTGCTCGAAATCTCCATGTTATGGAAACCAGCTGCCTCCGTTACTTTGTGATTAAAAAAATAGAGGGTGTGGCTGGGTCGTATTGAAATAGGGGGGCTTAGGGGCTCACCATGCCGGATTAATCACGCCGAGGGAGCGAGGCGAGGCGCCCTGCGGAAACGCCTGCCCCCGACCGCCACTTCCCCAAAGTGCTGCAAATCGGGGCAAATCCATTTGCCTGCAGAGTAATTTCACCCCGCATTAAGCAGGAATGCTCCGCCGCCCCCACCACCATTACCCCCCGTTACTCAGTGGTCCCCAGTCGACATTCTGCTGTTCCCCCCAATCTGCAGAGGTCATGTTGGGTATTATTAGGAAGAAAGTGCTGGGCCCCAAGTTGTCTCAGCAACCCGCAATTGCCACAATTATCATGATTAATAATAATAATAATAATAATAATAATAATAATAATAATAATATTTTTTATTTTTTGGGATGGGCACTTTTCAGCACTTTAGCCCCCCAGCACTTAACATTGGCAACAAATTACCGAGAGACATGAAGCAATTAGCGGTAATAATGGCGTTACGGATGCACATTGAATATCGTCAGAGTGGAAATAACCGGGGGCGCTAGAGGAAGCTCAAGAGGAAGAGGGTAAAACAAAAACACAACCCACACTGCCCCCCCCCCCAAACTCCGCCGTTCTGCAGCCAGCTGGCCCCGCCGACTCCTGCTATACTGACTCCCCAACTGCCAGGCAGCCTGTCATTTAAGGTGCCGGCTGAAGCTCAATTGCGCCCCCTTTTGGATGCAACGCTTCCTAAACCCAGACCTGTGCTGCATGCGAGTCTGGCATTTCCCAAGAATGATGCTCTTTGAGTCATGCCTCACGTTCGACCCCACCCTGCCTCTAGGTGGCGTGATCAACCTGTCGGTGCCCGTGGTGCTGCCTGTCTCCGGCGAGGACCGGGAGCGGTTGGACGGCTGCACGGCCTTCGCCTTAGCCTACGGGGGGCGCCGTGTCGCCATCCTGCGCAACCCCGAATTCTATGAACACCGTAAAGAGGAGCGCTGTGCTCGCCAGTGGGGCACCACCTGCAAGGAGCACCCCTACATCAAGGTAACCATTACCCCCCCCCCCCCCCCGAATGACACCTGAGATAGGGGGCCTCCACTCCAGCTGGGACCTGCGTGATCCGTGTATAGGACCGCCATCGTGTGTGTGCGCATGCTGGCCTGGTCCTCTGTCCCAAAAACCTCATCGATTTATGGAGCGGTCGTGGTCTTTCTCGATTGGTCCCCTCCGCCAAAAGCCCAGCCGCTCTCCGCCTCCAGACGTATCCCGGCGCTCATCGCGTGATCAATCCCACACCACTCGGTCCCGGGATGGAGGCCAACCGGGCTTCAGGCCTCAGCGTGGATCCCGGCCCGGGCGGACAGCGCCGCGGTAGTACAGTAATCGGCAGGCCTAATTGCGACGTTATTTCCGTATGTCGGGAGCTCTGATTAATTTATCACCTGAGGTCAGGCGTTTGGCTCTGTGTGTGGCGCTGGAGACACGGTGCCGGGGCGAGAAGCGATTATGCTCGATGGCAGCTTAAGTAATGGCAGCGTGGTGTGAGGACTGGGGTTCGAGCACCTGCTGGCCGCAGGCGGGGTGGTGGACCAGAGGACCGTGCTGAGCTAACAGAGAGCGCAGTATGAGTCATTGTCAGCTCATAAGGGGCATAAAGTTGCAATTTTCTGTTCTTCCTGCCGACGGAGTCCCTGGCAGGGCCCCCATTCAGGAAAGCAGAAGTCATAGGTCACCGCCAATAGGTTAGTGAAGGTAAACGCTGACATCATTCTGACATCATGACGACATGTTTTGATGTGTCCCTGGGGGATTTTTCGTTTTACAGGTAAGTTTGGTAAGACTCGTTAATATTTATGACAGTGCAACCTGATTGGCCAGTGAATGCCTTGGACAGAATGCCTGGGACACCGTGCTAATCGCTAGCTGCCTGGGACACCGTGCTAATCGCTAGCTGCCTGGGACACCGTGCTAATCGCTAGCTGCCTGGGACANTGCCTGGGACACCGTGCTAATCGCTAGCTGCCTGGGACACCGTGCTAATCGCTAGCTGCCTGGGACACCGTGCTAATCGCTAGCTGCCTGGGACACCTGTGCTAATCGCTAGCTGCCTGGGACACCGTGCTACAAAATACTATTAGCCTATAATTAGGAATTTACTGCGTTCGGCTTCAGCCTTAGACAGAATGCCTAAAAAATCACGCTAATCACGCCACTCTACATAATTTATCTTACCTCCATCCGCCTGACTTTTGACGGCAAAAAACAGGTAGCACATGTTGACGGGAGCACAATCAGGCCAATCAGTTAGCTTCTCTCATGAATATTAATGAGTTTCCCCAAATCACCCTGTAAAATAATTTGCTTCCTTGGCACAGTTCTTCTGCCTTTGGTGGATGGGATGGTGGGGTGGGGTGGGGGCACTCTTGGGGTTGGGGGGGGCTGACTGCAGTCCCGTTTAATTACAGCTTCTGTCTTGTGCTGGCAGAAAGGGGTGGAGCCAGTGACATCACTATTCCATTACTGCTAACATCGATGTGCCCCTCACCTGACCCCTCCCAGATGGTGATGGAGAGCGGGGATTGGCTGGTTGGAGGGGACCTCCAGGTTTTGGACCGGATCTACTGGGACGACGGCCTGGACCAGTACCGCCTCACACCCACAGAGCTGCGGCAGAAGTTTAAGCAGTTGAATGCAGGTGTGTTTTGCGGGGGTTTGCTGGATGCAGGCAGGGCTGGGGGGCCAGTGAAATGCTGAGTCTCCATAGCAACGCCGCCTCCCTCCTCCTCCAGATGCGGTGTTCGCGTTCCAGCTGCGGAACCCGGTGCACAACGGGCACGCGCTGCTGATGCGGGACACGCAGCGGCGGCTGGTGGAGCGCGGTTACCGGCGGCCGGTGCTGCTGCTGCACCCGCTGGGCGGCTGGACCAAGGACGACGACGTGCCACTGGCCTGGCGCATGCGCCAGCACGCCGCCGTGCTGGACGAGGGCGTGCTGGACCCCGCCTCCACCGTGGTGGCCATCTTCCCCTCGCCCATGATGTATGCTGGCCCGACCGAGGTACGAACGCCCCGTGGGTGTCGGTGCCAGGCTAGGATGATGCGAGGAAGGTTGTTGGATCAAATTCCAAGGTCTAAGCAAAAACCCCCAGTTGCTCCATAGACTAAAATATAAATTGGATGGGTTGACGTGTATTTGCTTGACCTCACCGGTCCCACGCAGGTCCAGTGGCATTGCCGGGCCCGCATGGTAGCTGGCGCCAACTTCTATATCGTGGGCCGCGACCCGGCTGGCATGCCTCATCCAGAGACGGGCAGCGACCTGTACGACCCCACCCACGGTGCTAAGGTGCTCACCATGGCCCCTGGGCTCATCAGCCTGGAGATCGTACCCTTCAAGGTGGCTGCCTACAACAAGGCCAAGAGGGCCATGGACTTCTATGACCACAAGAAGTAAGTCCCCCCCCCCCCCCCCATTGTCTGTGGCAGCCATGAAATTAAGTGCCCCTGTTTGTGTTTTATGACCTATGAATATGTTTCAGCAAGTTTTTATGTTAGTGTGGGGTGGGGTGGGATGGGGTGGGGGGGGTGAGGTTGTACTGATTACGTTCAGCCCCTGCATCCACATCGTATTTCTCCCATACGGTGGCGCCAGAGGGTTTCATGGAAGCGGTGGCACCGCGTTGGGTTTGAGTCCCCAGAAGGGGTGCTGCTCTTGTACCTTTGAGCCTCCTCCTGTCTAGGTGGGAGAAGTGTGAGAACACAGCCCTCGGATAAACGTTTACACATGGGGGCTGGTACCATCTCACTGGCTGGCAAGGTGGTGGGGGCAGCCAGCATGGGCTCCAGTCCCGTGCCAGTACTCTCTCTCCCCCTTGTGCAGGTGGCTGATTGGCAGGGATCCCTCTGAAAGACTTTCTGCTGCTCACACAGTGCAGGGTGTTTTTCAGCTTGCTCAGTGGATCATGATCGCTCTCTGCCCGCTCTCTGCCCGTCTCGCGCGCTCGCTGTCCCTTCCGCTGCCCGTCTCGCGCGCTCGCTGTCCCTTCCGCTGCCCGTCTCGCGCGCTCGCTGTCCCTTCC